GGTTTAAACACAGGTCCTTGTGCTGTTACTAAAGTATACATTTGCCAACGAATCCCCAGTTTTAAAAATATACTTTGTCTTTCTCTATTGTATTTAGACCTAGTGTGGATCTATTTTAAACACCAATTAGCCTTATTACTTTTTTGTTTTGTGCTTATTCTTTCTAAAAATTTTTATTCTATTAAAAAAACAGTTCTTCCTATACAGTTTGTGTGTGTGTGTGTGTGTGTGTGTGTGTGTGTGTGTCTGTGTGTATGTGTGTGTGTATGTGTGTGTGTATGTGTGTGTGTACACACACAAGGATGTCACATGACTACTTTTGTGGGTGTGAAGGTCAGAGGACAACTTTCAGGAGTGTGTTCTCTCTTCTTCTACTTTGGGTTCCAGAGATTGAACTCAGCTCCTTTAATGAGTATTTTTTCCCACTGGACCATCTCATTGTCCTGTTAATATATTTTTCTCCACATGATTTTTCAAAATTTCTCTTTTGATTTGTCTGTTTTCTTTTGGGGGAAGTGAGGTTTTTTTTTTTTTTTTTTTAAAGCTGTATGTGGTTTAGGCTGGCCTTCAACAAGCCAAGGATGACCTTAAACTCCTGATTCTCTAGCTTCTGTCTTCTAAGTGCTGGGATTATAGGCATGCACTCAACCATTTGAATGTTTGTTTGTTTTTAGTACATCTGTTTTTATAGATCTCCCTTACTCCTGTGGTTGCACTAATTTATAATAATTTATGTCTTTTGGAGTATGCAAATACAAACCAGTTTGTGGGTTGTTGACGTGTGTGTGCGTGTGCATGTGTGTGTGTGTTTTATTGTCAAGTGTTTTCCTGGGTTGTTTGCATTCTATGAGGTAGGATCTCTAAGGTAGGATCTCTAACGTGAAACTGAAGTCACTAATTCAGCTCATCTGTCTAGCCAGCTTGCTCGGGGCTTCCTCTGGATTTGTCTTCAACTCCTGGGATTATAGGCAACCTGCCATATCTGCCCTTCATTGTAGTAGGTTCTAGGATTCTGACCTCATGGCAAGCTATTACTTTACCTACTGAGCCACTTCTCCAGCCCCTAACAATTTCTATCTTACTGTTGTGTACTGGTGTTGCCATTCATTTACATTTTCTTTTAAATAAGCCATCTTGTTTCCCCTAGTTTGTTCATTTACTTATTATTTGTTTTGTTTGTTTCTTGGTTTTAAAAAAAAAAACTTGTGTGGGAGGGCAGAATGAAGTATTAATGTTAAGCCTGCTATTAGATATAAAGTATGTTTATTTATTATTATGGAACAATAGGGTTTTGGCTTTCTTTACACTTTGGTTAAATGTTTTGCTCTTGGCAGTTTCTCTTTTAGAATTAGTATACACTGAGCTTTGCTATTTTCTTTTGATTACCGTCCTTTTCTCTAATAGTATATTCTTTTGTTTTAGATTACTTATGTGTAATTTATTCTAAGTAATATTGCTATATAATTGAATTCACATAATGAGCTTAGTATTCACTTTATCAAACCAGTAGTGAAAGTTCAATGAAATGAGTACAAAAGATTCTTGTCTGTTCCAAAACTATTGTCAGTATTAGTCTTCAATTTCAAACTTTTTTTGTTTTGTTTTTGGAGACGGTTTCTCTGTGTAACAGTCCTAGCTGTCCTGAAACTCACTCTGTATACCAGGCTAGCCTCAAACTCACAGAGATCTGCCTGCCTCTACCTCCCAGTTGCTGGAACCAAAGGCGTGTGCCACCACTGCCCAGCAAACTCTTTTTATAATGACATTTTTTTTAAGTGTTTAAGTATTTCAGCTTTGATTTTTCACACTGTTCAGAAAGTACTTGCTTAGGAACTTGTGTTAGGAACATATTCTGAATTACCATTGTCATTTACTATTTTAGTAGCTCCATATTCTGCATTTGTATTAAGTCAAATTTGATTGAATTTATCCTTTTCAAGTTTTGACTAATTTTCATTTGCAGGAATATCACTTTCATGGATTTATACAAATTTGGACTTCTGTCTGTCTTATTCTAGGAGTTATGATGCCTTTATGCTAAATTTAGCATAGTTCCTATTTCAGATGTTTATTCTTTGTCTTCTGTGTACTAGTACTAAAATATCTTGTGTCAGTATCTTGAGATGGAAATGCCCTGAATCTAATTTGTACTTTCTAAGCATTTTATTTCCTTCCATTTTAATTTCTCGACTGACATCTAAAATAACTTTTAACACCATTTTTATAGACAGTAGGATAGCACTTTACCTTGGTTAGTTGTTTATTTCAAATAGATCTATGTGAAATACTTGAGTTTTTGTTTTTGGAGAGAGGGTTTCTCTGTGTAACAGCCCTGGCTGTCCTGGAACTCCCTCTGTAGACCAGGCTGGCTTCAAACTCAAAGAGATCTGCAGCCTCAGCCTCTGCCTCCTAAGTACTGGTATTAAAGGCCTGCACCACCATGCACAGTGATTTATTTATTTTATTTTCATGGATGTTTTGACTGTGTGTATGTGTGTACCACACACATGTCTGGTACTTGTGGAGGCCAGAAGAAGGCAAGGGGTCCTCTGGGACTGAAGTTAACAGATGGTTGTAAACTGCTATGTGGGTGCTAGTAATCCAATCAAGGTACTCTGAAGAGCAGCAAGTGCTTTTGCTACTGAGCCATCTCTAGCCCTGAAATCTTGATTTTAAAAGTATAAATTATTTGATATTGGTCATTTTGTATACTTTATCTTAAATATATAGCAGCTTCTATGTATTAAAATAGGTATATTAGGACACTAGAAAGATGAGACAGAAACAAGAATTGACGATTGTGGCATTTCAGGTGACATTAGCATTTTCTCTCATATTTCAAGTTTTAATAATATAATAATTACTGATTTTATCCTTGCTATATTAATCACCAGAATAATGTAGATTATCTATGTTTTTTATTTTAACTGTTTTAGCATTCATTTTAATAAGAACCCTCAGAATAAAATAATTTTTAATAAAGATATTTAGGAGTGATGTATTTCAAAATAGCTAAATTAGAATAAGAGGTGACCATGAGAATGCTTGATGATTTAGAAGCCAGAACCATTGGGATTTTAAATGTCTGTAAAACAAAACACGTCAGCATTGATGAGGAATAACTGGGATGTTTATAGACGGCTAAAGTAGGATGATAGCTATTTAACTGTGTGGCTCTCCTGTGAGCTGAGCTAGAGTACTTTTTCTGTCAGAGTAGAGGGCAGATTGTTGGAAATAGCAATGGAATGAATGTAGAGGAAGTTGTGGGTCTGTGTGTACTCTATGAATCTGGGGCATTAAAAAAAAAATGGCTACTTGAGCAGCCTTTATTTGAAGAATTCCAAGTTGTCAGTTACTGTCTTAGGGTTTTAATTGATAGAAATGCAGTGAATGAGTAAGGTTTTCTTAAAGGTGATGAAATATTTAGTTAAAAATATTTTATAATACTAATCACTGTTTTGTAACCATTGATTTCTCTGATGAGTTTATCTTCTCCCTTGATTTGGTGGCTAAATTTGGCTTTTTTTTTTCTCCTTCCATTTAATATATGTCTTCCTTTGCCTGCCTCTTTAATGTTAGCTTTCTCTGCTGTCCAGTTCTTGACTTGTCTTTTTTGATTAGATTGATATTGGGCAAATACATTCATTACCATGAGCTCCTTTTATTATTTCCTTTCTTCATATCCTTAGCATTTATTATTATATTTTCTTTCTATTTTACCTATTGCAAAATTTTTGTAATTAAGTCTTTTAAGGCTCCATCTTTGTTTTAAGATGTAATTTCACTGGATTCTGCATGTGAACATTGCCTCCATTGTATAATTCTTCACACTTAGCAGAGTGCTAAGGTGACAAACATTTGAATCAATAAGTTTATCACTTAGATAGTTCTCACTGTGCTTATTTTGCTACAGTAGATGATACTCATACTAACAGACCATTAAAATGCTTTTGTACCAGCATTAAGGAATAAGCTATTAAGTGCTGTTGTCTGAGAAAGTGTTGCTGTGGTTGATAGCTTACTTTCTAGAGCAAGAAAGCTGCTTTGATTCTAATTTCAGTTCTTCTTCTCACCACTGAATGGTCTTCAACAAATTACCTAGCCTTTCTGTGTCTCATTTTCCTAATAGATGTAGTATCTGCTTCAAATTTGGCAATCAGTATTATGTAATTATCTGTTACTGTTTCATAATTTTAAATGGTTGAATATATTTAAGTTAAAGTAGAGAAGCCAGTTATGCCTACTCGGGGTAGAATAGAGTTTCTGGAAAGCAGCTTGGTGTATAATGAAAATTTTATAGCTATTTCTATTGATTAATTTGCATTTTAATCATCTCTTAATAAAATAAAAAATAATCTTATATACAATGAAAATGATAATATTTAAGACACTTGTATGTTCTAAGTTTATGATAGTTGCAAAGTCTTAAATCTCTGGTAAGAAAGGAATGTTTCAATAAAAAATTGAAAATTATCCTGTGATTGTAATGCTTACATTTTAATGACATGCAAATGGTTATGATGCAATGGGAACAATATGAAAAACAAAATACTTAAATGTTTTTAAAAGTCATGAAATGTAAATTTCAATGTAAAACTACAGTGCTTAAAATTACAGTGGTTCAACCTAATAATAAAGTGGGTTACAACATGTGACTTAAAAAAAGTCAACTAAATGAGGAAATGTGAACGATTTTTGGATATCTATAATTTTAAGTCACTATTGGTATTGTTCATTTTCATATTTTTATTGTAAAATAAGTCACTGTTGTGGTAAATAAGCATAACTTTTTGTTGCCACATAGACAAGTGTCTTTATTTGAATGTTAACATTCGGATTTACTTCTGATTTCTTTTCTTTCAGTTCCCTTATTTTTACTCTTAGTGGTCAGTTTAGTATCCTTTTGTTTTCTCTTAACCAAATTTAAGGCTCATTTTTTGTCATGGTGCTGAAAATGTGATTTAGATTAGAATCTTTTTCTTCCTTTCTTTAATCTGCAGCAATTGGAACAGATCCAGAAGGAACTAAATGTTTTGGAAGAGGATATTAAAAGAGTGGAAGTAAGAAATCAAATTCTCACATTTTTCATAGTTTTACCTTAATCTTAATTGACAGTTCAGCTGGTGCAGGGGTACAAAGTCTGAATACTTTTTTGAAGATAAGTTGTAATCTAAGTTTATATTGACTTTTTTTGTTATAATTCTTGAATAAATGGAACAAATTTGCTTAAGTTTCTGTTTGCAGTCAAGTTAATTTAAATCGTTTTCTACTAAACCTTCATTATTTTCTTAAAATTACTTATTTCATTCTTTTATTGTCTACTACTTGTATTACTTACTGAATATGATATTAGTTAAAAGTGATGTAAATTCATTGGCAGTATGTTGGAGTTCAGAATAAAATACAAGTTTCTTATAGAAATTCATTGGGAGATTCATAGGCTATTGTGAGTTGAAGTCACTACATTTGGCTACATTTAAACTTCGTGTGTGCTTTAATTATTCATACATATGACTTTCTTTTGCTGACATAAAAACATTTCAAAGGATAATGAGCATTGTAGTATTTAATGGAAACTCAGTATCCTTATAATATTTCAAATTTGTAGTATTTATATTACCTGTTTAGCTATCTTTGAGCTAAGCCAGAAATAATTTTACCTGATTATGTGTCTATAGTTGTATTTTCAAATTCGCTATTTTTCCTTGAGTCAAAATATTGCATATCAATAAAAAGGGAGGCCAGTCAGTGAGATACAGAGATGTGATTTATGTGATTATCTGTGGCCAGCCCCTTTCCTATGGGTTGATAATAAACAAAAATTTTAATCTGTGTCATTGTTGAACAAAGTCAGTATTTGATTCAAGAAGTGTTACTTTTATTATTCGTAGATTACTCTTAGAGAATGGCAGATATAGTCCAGTTTCTTTCATTTACTTTGAACATTTGAATATTATAATCCAGTCAACCATGCTGTTTTATTTATCCTAATGTATATTACTAGAGCATCAACTGCATGAATGATCAGCTCACTGCGTACAAAATATGCTGTATGTTCTTTTTGGTATACTTCCTTTTGACTTTTTCTGCATTTGTTGCTTTCGAACAGTATTTAATAGCTTTATAATCCTTTAACACTAGGAAAAGCTTCTTTCTTAATTTCAGATTAACTTTGCTTTTTTACTCTATTGAAAGGAGTCCTTGATAAGATTGGGTTTGAAGACAGAAAGGGACTGATGAGAACTTGGGGCTAGAACAGAATATAAATGCATATGCTTTTTTTGATTTATATACATGTCATATTTGGAGTGTGTATGATAACTTAAATAATTACAATTTTAGGAAATGAGTGGTTTGTACTCTCCTGTCAGTGAAGATAGCACAGTGCCTCAGTTTGAAGCTCCTTCTCCATCACACAGGTACAAAGCTTCACATTAGTAATTGTTTAGGACTTTGCATTATGTGTTCATGGTACTCTAGTTCTCAGGAGCCTTTTTAATACATACTTATGGATCCATTGAGAAATGAAATGCAGATAGCCAGTCAGTTTTTCTTGATCCTTTGGATTAAGCTAGTGGGTAGATGTTAACAGTATTTTACATTTTGAGATGGATAAATAGTTTGAATTTTTTGATGTCTTGTAAATTAATTAATATCATGTTGCAAATCAAAATTTGGAAACATAATATGATAAAAAAAAATTGCTCTGGCACATGTCTTTTAATCTTTTAATACCGAGGAAGCAAAGGTAGGAAGTTCTCTGTGAGTTTGAGGCCAGGCCAATCTACATAGCAAGTTCCAGGCTAGCTAGGGATACAAAGTAAGAACTTGTCTTGAAATGGTAATGATAATGAAATAAAATTTTAAATCTTTTTCTTTTCTTCCTACTCACTATATTTTGGGGCATTGGTTACTCTCCCCAGTTTTAAAATGAGGGCATTAGAAAGATGTGTTAGTTTAAGTCTTCCTCTTTTTTGTTTTTTTGTTTGTTTTTATGATTCTCATTATATATCATGGGCTGGCTTTGAACTCAGAATCTTTCTATTATGGCTCAACTTGCTTCCCAAGTGTTACAGTGCTAGGATTACAAGGGTATACCTCCATACTTGGCCTACCTTTTTCTTGGTGGTATGGGTAAGTGTGTTGGTAGTTAGTTTCAGATTCACAGTCCTTTCATCTCAGCATCCAAAGTAGCTGGGATTTTGGACACTTAATTACCATGTCTGTCCTTGTATTTTTATTCTTGTTAGCATGGGAGATGGAAGCTTGAGGATTAGGAGTTCAAAAATACCCCTGGTTTCATAGGTAATTCAAGGCCAACCTAAGTTACATGAGGCCATCCTTCAAAAAACAAAAATAATTAAACTCCATTTTACAAATTATTAAATCTTACCATCTATATGATTTATTACATCATGGATTATATGTAATTATGTATCTCTTGCCCCAACTCCCTAGATTTTGGAATAACATTTAGCTTTATTTGACTCTTTGTAGTATAAAGCAAATGAATGTGATACCTTTTAGCTCTAAAATTTATTTCATGAAATATTTGCTATCTAAATTTTGGACTTCGGAGTTTTATGTTTAAAATGTTCAAATAAGAGCAATGGCCACTTTGTAATTCACCTTTTTCCAACCAGTTTTTAAAAATTTCTTTACAACAATCCTAATGACTAGGTCTGTGGGATATTGTTATCATTAAGCCTGTCATTCACTTTCTGATATATGATGTCTTTGATAACAGGCTGTTTTTCTTGCATGCATGAGAGAGAGAGAGAGAGAGAGAGAGAGAGAGAGAGAGAGAAAGAGAGAGTGTGTAACTGAATATAGGGAATCAATAGCCATCCATACCACAGGCATTTCAGTAATAAATTGGCAGTTCATTCTCATTTTTATGTCACTCAATTAGACAGAAAGCATTTCTTAACTATTAATATTCAGTCTATTAGATTTTGTGAATCTGAAAATTACATTTGTTATTTGTTGAATGCCCCTAAAATAGGTCAACCATTTTTTTTCGTGTGTGTGTATGTTGAATTTTGCTGACAAAGTCCGTGCCTTTATGGAGCTTATCTTTTGGGATGTGTATATGGAGCCTAGGAGAGATACTACACAGGCAAATGTAGAACAATCTTAGGAGCACATAATATAAATATGGTGCCTTCAGAGGATCATTTTAGCAGGGTATATGTTTGCATGAATACTCTGTTTTAGGTAGTTGGATTTCTCCAAAGAGATGACAACTAAATGCAGTGAGGCCTAAACAGGCTGGAAAAATCAGTTTTTTGTTTAGATTTTAAAATGTTACCAATTTCCATGTGGAAGAGAGAGAGGACACCTTATGTCATTCCTGATTTCATACCATTGGAAACATGGAGAAAAGCTAGAAAACTTATAAAAGATGAGTGAGGGCATGGGTTATGATTTTATTTGTGAAGGTGAGAAAGGCAGGTGCATAAGGTAGTCACTGTGATAAACAATTTACTCCTGGTACCGAGGAAGCAGAGACAGGTGGATCTCTATGAGCTCAATGCTAGCTGGGGCTACATATTGAGACTCTCTCTCTCAAAAACAACAAAACTCCAAAACAACACCAACAGAATAAACAAGTAAACAACAACAAAATAGAGTGAACTAGCAGAGTTTGAACAACAGCAACAAAATCTCAGAAATACCTGGGGATATTATAGTGAGCACTAGAGGTGACTTGCTTTACTTTATGCCTTACAGAAGTTGAATTTGTTGTCATAGGCATGAGAAGACATTAAATTTTAAATGAGTATAGAGAGTACTTTTTAATTACCTGTTTATCACTCATTAATAACATTGATAGGTAATCAAATGCAAGTTACTGAAATCATTCTTAAAACTTTAATTTCCTTCAATTAGAATACTTAAAGAGTTTAAGTCATTTATTTCAAATTTGGACTGTATCAGACAGGCATAAAACACTGTGTGAAGATACTGTGATAAAATTGTAACTATGCCAGACCCTCAAAACTCACTCCCATGATTATGCTGTCTTAGTATGGGAAATAATTTGTCTAGTAAATTAATCTTCTGCTTAAAGTACAGAATGAGTAGAATTTTTGATGCCAAGAATTTAAATCCATCAAAACTCATTTACCTATGAAATGATAATGAATATTTTTTATTTATAGTCATTTCAGAAGTGTATGTGTGATATACATATATGTGCATGGATGTGAGTGCCTTGCATGGAAGCCAGAGGAGGACATTGGGTGGCCTGTTCAATCATGTTGAACCTAATCTCAGGAGATATCACCTTTCACTGAATCCAGAGCGTACCACCATTTACCTGCATCCTTCTCAGCACTGGGAGTGTAGATGTATGTGGCCACACCTAACTTTTTTTATGTGGGTTCTGGGAATCCAAACACATCCTTGTACTTGAACAGCAAGAGCTCCTACTCTTTATTGAACAGTTGTCTTCCTGGCTTTATAAAAAAACTTTTTAATTTTTTTTTTTATGAATGCTGTCACTGTCCATTAAAATTCTGAAATCTGGAGTCGTGAAGAGAGTCCTTATTTTAGTCCTTGTTTAGTGACATGCAAGACCCATGTTTGAAATACAAGATTTTTGAGCCCCTATTGTCTATTACAGTTTATCATCTGAAAGAGATCCTAAAGACTAAAAAACATGTATTATTTAAATGACTATACATGTCTGGATTGCAGATTTGTTTAAAAGTAGCTCTCAGATACCCAATGTTGAAGTTTTTATAGTGTCTTCAGCATATTTCATTATTTAATTAATATCCTCAATGGCTTGATTTTATTAGGGTAAAAATAATACAATCATTATAGAAATAGAGACAGCATGTGAATAGCTATTTATAGTTTTTAATTGCTAGTAGTTGTATTTCTGATTGTATATTTTTAATTTTTAATCTCTTATTATTGCTATTGTTTTGAAGAAAGGCCTTTCTTAAGCCAGCCTGGCCTCATACTCATTATGAATCTGCTTCAGCTTTCACTGTTCTGGGACTATATTTATGAGATGTAGTGCTTTAGTGCCTTTGAATTGTTGATAGTTTTATAAGCTAATTTTGTCTAAAGATGGTAGAGAGACAATAGTGATAAAATAGATAAAGAAAGTAAGAGTTTCTGAATGGTAGAGTTAAATAGAAGGTATAACCAAATGAAAAACAACATAGAAAGCAGACTGTATTTCACCAGGGCAGAGGAAACTAGTATCATATGGGTTTGAATTATAAGAGAAGACTTTTGTCATTTTATATTTGTTCTATCCCTTTGATAGTTTTCCTTTACAAGGTTTTGTCACACCACCTGGGGACTTATCTAGAGATAGATAGTCCTCATTCACCTCATTTGGTAATGAGGAAACTGAGTGATTGTAAGGTAATTGTCCAAGAGCACATAGCTACTGAGTGCCATAATAGGTTCTGTTAACTGTAGCCCATCAAGTGCATGCTAATGATTTCCCCAGTATTGTAAATCCTCTTGTCCTTAAAATTCCAAACCTTACTAACCTACTTAGAAATGGAAATAAATCTGTTTGCACACCAGCCCTAGGATTATTCCCATTTGATAACCTTTCTTGATAAATATGTTTGAAGAGCTGGAAGAATTTATGTTTATGGGCCCATTGATATCTAATTAGATGATTGGCAATACATGTTTAAAATTATAAATATTAGGTTTACAAATGGTACATTTTAGATCAGCTTTTCCTGTTACTAAAATAATGTAATTACTGAAGTTATATTCTTCTTTCTTCATTTTCCAGTAGTATTATTGATTCTACAGAATACAGCCAACCTTCAGGTTTCAGTGGGACTTCTCAGGTAAGTTATACATTTAGCAGTATGTTTTGGTGGTTGCTATGAGTGGAATCATCTAAACATTGTAAAAAAAAAAAAAACAATAGGTTAGTTTTCTAAAATATTCTTTGACAATGACATACTCTTTTTAGTAGGCTTAACTTGTTTTTTATTTATAACAGAATCATTGTTTATTTGCTTTTCAATGTTAATTTTTAAAACGTGTTTTTAACATAATGATTAATATCAGACCTTAAGAGGAAGAAAATATTGCCAGGTATTGTTTGTCTCAGAGATATAAAAGGTATATTTATTGATTCATTGCATATCATTATGTTAAAGCATTAAGTAAGATTGTTCAAAAGTCTGAAGTATCTCCTGATCTCTGATCTGATCTCTTCAACTGTGACCCCTTGTAAAATCAAAACAAAACCCACAAATTTTATTCATTCTACATACAATGGCACAGAGTGTACATTCCCGTTGCATTAGGGAAGAATAAGGACATAGAAAGAATGGAACAAAGCACGACTGAAACCCAACAGGGCAAATACAAGATCTTACAATTTCATGTCAGTATCTGGTGCTTTGGTTTCAAAAGGCTTAGATGGCTCTAACCCTACAGCTTTGCTGTCATCAGTCTGTTCCTGCAAATGATTTAAAAGGAGGGAAAAAAAATTAAAAAGAGATGCCTAATTTCTGAATTTCAGTCGGTGGAGTAAATAGATGCTCAAAAATTCTGCACTTCCCAGTAAAATCCATCCTGTTAGAAGGCAGGACACAATTGGATAATAAATCCTACTAGAGTTTCATAGACTGGAGTTAATGAATTCTCAATTCTCAAGTTTCACTCTGTTGTTATTGGTGTTTGAGGCATGATCTTTCATGGATCTCATCTGTTTTCACACTTGGAATCATTTTCGCTCAGCCTTCTGAGTGCTGGGATTACAGGTATGAACCACTTGTGGCCTTTCTCTTCAGTTATAACATTATATGAGACAAAATGAAAATAAATTGATACAAAAGCATCAAAAATCATAGATGAGCATAAGCTTGGCAAAAATGAGTTAAAGAGTATAGCCAAAACAAAGTACAGATGAAAGTAGAGCTCAAGGAGAAATCTACTTGATAGATACCATTTTCACATTTATAAAAGGTGTTTTCCCCAGAATGGCAGTGTAGTCAGTAATCCCAGGCTTCCCATGCATATACTTTCTTCCTGTGCTAGCAAAAATCTGAATACCCAAGTCCCCTTTCTAAAGTGGTATAATATGTGTTTATATCTATGTATATCACCCCATCTACTTTGGACCATCTTTAGATTACTTGTAATAGTTATACAATGTAAAAATGTTATTAGTTACTGTAGTATATTGTTTAGGGAATAATCCATTTTTAAAGAAAAAATGGTCTGTACATGTTCAGTACAGATTTCCTTTTTTTTTTTTTTCCAAGATTTTTTTTTTTTTTTTTTTTTTTTTTGGGGCAGAACTTACTAATCTCTAGGTGCAGAACTTACTAATGTGAAGGGCCGGTGGGTACCTTGTGCAGTGCTATAAAGAATTAGAATGTATGTGAGGGGGAAAAGCTGTTAGAAACTAAAGGAAATAATTAGGTAGGATTTATTTTCTAATTACTTTTCACAGCTACTTCCCAGCTATAAATACTGTAACTTAAAATACTACCTTGTATTTTTTAAGAAGGAAACTGGTACATAGAACATCTAAAGAGATTGACCAAGAAAATGTAGCTAGTAAGAGGAGAGAGCTGAGATTTTAAACCAAGCATATGACTCAGACCATGCATAGTTAAAGAATCACTCATTCAATCATTGTTTTTTGTTTGTTTGTATTTTAAGTACATCGTATTTACAGAGCCCTATTATAGGATCTGAAGACATATCATTGAACAAAATCAAAACACAAACATTTCTATATTAAGTAATCCTGTAATCTAGTTGGAAAGACAATAGTAAAATAAACAAAGATGACTTCTTTGTGAAAAGTGAGAGAGTGAGTTATCTGATTATATTTGGGTAAGCTCTAACTATAGGAACAGCAAATAAATAAGCCTTTTGATAGAACCATGATTGGAGGAGAGTGAACAAAAGAGAGAAAAGTGGAGAATGAAGTCAGGAGTATGTGTAGCACAGAGTACTGTGGACATGGTTTCCTCTGGTTTTATAAGTGTAAAGGCTTTGAGTACTTCATTGAAAGGATATTTTATTTTATCATTGGGAAGCTTAGCAAAATGAATTGATTCTAAAACAGGATATATTGTGCCATCTACACTCTATGATTAGAATCTTAGATAGAATATACTATTGTAATTTGGAAGACAAACTAGGTTTCTGTGAATGCTCTGAATCACTAAATAGTTTCAGATATACATGCCAAAAAGCAGTCGATGTTTTTATTGATAGGTTAAAAAAAGCTTTTATTGAAGGAATCTACAATATATATATAATTATATAAATACGAAAACCAGATTTTCATAGAAGGACACACAAATGACAAATTGAAGTTAGTTATCAACACGATATAGGATAAATTAAGTTAGTACAGATTAATAATAGCAGTTGTAAATGTATAATTTTAAAAATACATATAATAAAATAAAGCAATCACAAGGCAATTTAGATAGACTAATGGCTCAATTATTAATTTAATTGATTCCTGCTAACAAATTTCCACTAGTAGTTTTGTAAGTATACAGAGAATGCGATCAAGTGACTTAAAAATTTTTTGATGAAATGCATGATTTGGAGGTTAATATGAAGAGAGTACTTACCCAATCAACATAAAAGAATACTGTCACTAAAGGTGCAAAATACAAATTAACAATCTGATGAAAATATCATTTATAACCTGTACTAAAGGGGTTTATAAAGTAGTGCAAAGAAAGATTATATGTTGGTGTGATAACTAGGAAAACATTTGATAGAAATGTGTCTTGTATTTTCTTGTATGTACTTGCTAAAAGAGTCCAGATCAAATACATAATTGATTAAATAGAAGTGATGAAATTTGTCAACATACTTATTAAGGGCCACAAAAAATAATCTAGAACTATGCTGGGAAGCATCTTTAGTATATATCTTACTTGCTATAAAATGTTAAGAAAGAAAAGAAACAACTGTAATACTGATAACTTTTTTAATGCAAACTCTACATAGGGTTAAACATGTTGCTAAAAGACATGGTTAAAGAGAGAAAAATGCTCATGTTCATGTCATCTGACATGATTTCTGAATTTCCTAGTAAGAGACTAATACATGGTACCAATGAAGTCCTCTGGTGGTTCTTAATGGCATCAGAGAACTCAGAATGAGAAACCTAATCAGGACTCATTTAAGATGAGGGTACATTCTGAGAATAACATCACTAGTTGATTGTTTCTGTATGAGCTATCATAGCATGTACGTACACAAGCTTCAGTGTTATAGGTCAGTCACTACACTTTAACAAATGCAGCTGATTGGCAATAAAGACTGGGTGGATGAGTGTGCTTTCCAGCAAACCATTTTATAGTAAATTTAGTGTATGCAAGTAAGAATGCATTCCAAACTATCAAAAATATGTGGTAACAAAGTACATGATCTAGGAGCAGAGTTGTTTAATGCCATCATCATGAAACTATTGTTATTATCGTCATAATCATCAATTTGTTTTGAGACAGTCTCTCTATACAGCTCCTGCTGTATAGACCAAGCCGACTCAAAACTCACAAAGACCCTCTTGCCTCTGCCTTCCAAGTGCTGGGATTAAAGGCATGAGTCACCATGCATGCCTAATTATGAGACAATTCTTAAAGCAGAAGGAATAGGGGAATTTATTCTGTGCCATATATGAATGATCATGCCCTGTGGACAAAGATGTTCCTCTGAGGAAACACTTACACAAGCCTTTTATGTCACAGAACAAAAGAATGTCATAAACCAATGTATGTACTAAATAACATAAATAGGGACATTAGATCAGTTATGGTACCAAATCTAGAAAACCTCTGCTAGTAGCTTTCAGATGCTGTGTGGTGACATTCTTAGCGTTGAGCTTAGGGAAAGCTAGCCATCTGCTAAGTTTATGCATTCTAAAGGTATGCCTGATGATGGAAAGTGTTCTAAGCAAGATACAGTAGATGAGCACTAAATAAGCAAGATACAGTAGGTGGCTATTAAAGGGACTAGATAAAAATAGTCCAAGATAATTTTGACTCCAAATTTACCAAATTTCAGCTTTTACTGTCACAGGATTAAATAAGTGTGGCTTTCCCCCTAGAAATGCTATTTTATACTATCATTATTTAATGTTATTTACTGTACACAATTACCTGGTATACACTTACACCACTGGCAACACAAGAGGTTTGTTAATAGTCATCAGTGCTGGAACATGGGAGTTGTATGTTACAGTATTATGACAGTAGAAGCTCTTCTGCTGCTAGCATTATGGAACCAGTCTATTATTGATCAAAACATTCTTAAATATCACATGACTGTGCTCTTATTTTTGCATGGCTGCATTTGTGCTCCTATTCATGCATGTATGTGTGTGTAGGAGAAATAGAAAAGAAAACGGAGTTTAGTTGGTAGTCTTCTATATACATGTGGCAATTGCTAGAAACATTTGATTTAATAATTATACACATGGGAATCCTTTCTAAGAAATGGTTTGAAGTACTACATAAAGATGATACCCTAGGGTCATAGAGATGGCTCAGCAATTAGAAACACTTGCTGCTTGCCCTTCCAGAGGGCCTGATTTCAGTTCCCAGCATGTGTCAGGTGGCTCACAGCTACTTGTCACTCCAGGTATACAGATTGCAGTGCCATTCTCAGGCCTTCATAGACAGTGGCACACATGTAGCATATGCTCTCACAGGCACATATATAATAAAAAAATAAACTTTTTCAAAAGGGGTTGTAGTCTAGTAAGTTCTGGTAAACATGCCCAGCCATAGTAAAAATAATTAAAAATGTTCTCCTGCAGTTATAAACAAATTAATAGGTGAAATAGAATTTTAAAATGCTAACAACATGATTAACAAAAGCCAGAAATGTATGACCTTTATATAGTATAGGTATTTTATTCTGTGTCTGTTGTTTTTGCTTTAGAGTTTTTGTATAGCTTCTGTATTATGAGCAAATTAATAAATTACCATTAAAAATCAGAGGGACTTATATTTTTAAAAATTTCAATAGCCATTTTCTTAATACTGGTGTGTGTGTGTGTGTGTGTTTGTGTGTGTGTCTGTGTGTGTGTGTGTGTGTCTGTGTGTGTGTCTGTGTGTCTGTGTGTGTGTCTGTGTGTCTGTCTGTCTTAGAACTGTTATTCAGTTGTCTGTCTGTCTTAGAACTGTTGTTATTCATACTGTCCTGAAACTCCCTGGCATAGCTCATTCTGGCCTCAGATTCAGAGTAGTTCTCCAGCTTCAGCTTCCTAAGTGCTGGGATTACAAGCATGAGCCACCATTCCTGGTAATAATGACCTTTATAAGAAATGGAAAAACAAAAACAAAAACAAACAAAAAAAAAACTACCTAATGATCCAAGATGGGCTTAGAATCACTGTTAAGATGTGTAAGTTGTGCTTACTGTGTATCTTTCCATTTCCTGTGAACTGTTACAGCTTCTCTTGACACTGGCCTTTTGAAAAGTGTAATTTATTTCTTAGGGTATCTTTTTAAGGTAAGTTTTAATGTCTCATAGGCTATACTCCAGCTCCCTCCTGGTTCTCTACCATAGTACTCTTTGTTCTTCAGTCTTTTGTGAAGTTTTCCAAGTCATTTTAGCCAGTGACCTTTATAGTATCACCCTATTTAGCTGCATAAAGAAGCCTTGAGGGGGAGTATGAGATATTGTTTAATATTACAGTCTCTGCTTGAGACCCTGGATTTGATCCTTGGCTGCTCATGAGTGCTTCATACATATTCCCTGCTTCATCACAGAATAGGAAAATAGTGTGTATCCAGAATCAATAAAGGTTAGTTTTTATGTTCTTCTTGAGGGCCAGAGAGGAGAATCCAGAAAGCTTTGGTATAGAAGAGTAGATTCATAGAAGAAATAATTATTTCTGGATATGTTGCAGATGTGATGCTTAGAAAATCACTATAGGGATTTGAATTAAATGTTTTTGAAGCATGTTGAGGGGAAGAAAAGTATTTAATCCTTTTTACATTATTGCTCATTTAACAAACATTGTTTTTTCTTGTCTCTCTCTGTTTTTTAGCATTTTGGAGACAAGGTCTCCTGTAGCCCAGGCTGATCCTTAGACTTTCTATGTAGCCAAGGTTAATTCGGAACTACTGCTTCTCCTGTCTTTGCCTTCTCTCTCAGTACTGAATTTATAGGCTTCATGCCACCACTTTCAGTTTTATATAGTACTTACTGAGAGTGGAATCCAGGGCTTTGTGCATGTCAGGCAAGCACTCTTAAACTAGCCTGCATCACCTTTACATCACTGTTTTAAAAAGAGTGTTTCATTTTAATCATTCTGTGAGAGGATTTTTTCCCCTGTATTTGCTTGAAAAGAAAAATTATAAGAGTGATCTGAGAATTACAGCTTTTCACCATTTGTGGTCACTTTAATAAATGCACATTTGAAAGTCCATAAATAAGCATTTAGCTATTCTATGTAAGAATGTAGATTGTATGGAGTTGTAAGTGTCTTTTCTTATCACCTTAGACAAAGAAACAACCTTGGTATAACAGCACATTAGCATCCAGACGAAAGCGACTCACTGCTCATTTTGAAGACTTAGAGCAGTGTTATTTTTCTACAAGGATGTCTCGTATCTCAGGTACATGTTCAGGATTTCTTTTAAAATGTCTGAAAATCATCCTTCAGATGTATTTCGAGGCTCAAATGCTAGATTTATGGAAAGTTCTAATGGCAAAGCAAATTATGATGTTTTTCTACTGGTAATCTCTATTTCTCATTCAGGAATGTTTAATCTGTCTAGAGCAAACTATATAAAGTTTGAAAAAAATAACCATGAAAAAACATCTTCTATTTAATTAGCTCCTATTCCACATTAGTAAGTTTTAAGCACTATTGTTTGTGCTGAGGACAAAAAAATTGAAAGAATTGGTTATATTTACCATAAAGTGGGATGTTATAAATCTGTAGGCAAAAGCAACAGGTAGCTAATAATTGCATGTGTACAATGTGCTGTAAATGTGCAGTGTCCATTGATACAACCGAGTGGGAAGAATCTAAGCTAAAGTGAAAATGAAAAGACATAGGTGAATGTTCTAAGTGGGGACTTAGAGAGATTGTGTTTAGGTCAGGCTAGCATAAATTAAGTAAAAAAGTAATTAGCAACATTCAAAATATACAAAATAACATCAGACCATATGGACATGACAACATAAGATATTTTTAATTTTAGGTGAGTAATAAGACTGTTCTTCAACCTTTCAGTAGACTGCTTGTAACTTCAACGTCACAGGATCTTACTCCTTCTAGTGTCTTTCTTTTGGGTACCAACACACTCACATGCACTCCCCCCCCTCCGTTACCCCCCCACTCTCTCTCTCCATAAGCACACATACACATATAAATAAAAATAAATAATAATAGTTATAGGCAAGTTGTACAGAACAGAGTCCTTAATACAGGTTAGGTGTCCAACTAATTGATTCCATTAATGGTATGCCTGTGGTAAATGAAAACATCAAGGGGAAAATTATCTGGTACTTTATTGGTTATTGAAAACTGAGTCTTGATTTCCTCCTGAATGAATGAACACATATATTATAATATTTTATATGAACAGTTTATACTCTTTGGATCTTTTTGATAACTTTGTCTTATAATTGGTGATGTAGAAAAGATATTAATTCATGTAGACTGAGTTTGTGGCTCAGTTGGTAGAATGCTTACCTGGAATGTAGGAGATCCTGAATTTGATCCCCTATATTTAAAAAGTACTATATTTAAAAAGTAAAAATAAGCATGGTATGCTTGCCTGTAGTCCTAGTTTGAGAGTTAGAGCCAGTCCAGCCTACACACATACATAAATGCACACATACACACATTTAGGAAAATGCTAAAATTTCTCTTTAAGCATATTTGATTTGAGATTAATGGTGAACCTTTTTATGGATAGAAATGTTTCGTTCACTGCCAAGGGATGAAGTCCTATATTCAGCAAGTATCAATAATGGTTTATGAATATATAATATTTACTACAATAAGAAGTGGTTAGAATTTATAGTCTAATACCTATATCTTTCTGGGCAGGGAATTCCTGTTGATTCTTTAAACATTATTTGCTATTTTGATGCTGAGGATGGTAGACCATAGGGTAGATACTGAGATAATTTCTTTGAAGTGAAGATGACAAAGAGCTTGATACAGAATTTTGTTTAAGTCACTGGCAACACAGATATGCTTGCTAGGAATAGTAAAAATGATAACTAGGTATTTTGTTCTGGACAACAGTAGATTTATAGGAGAGGAAACTAAGTTCACACCAGAAGGCAAACTTAGATAGATTTTTATTAATGTCTGTATCATACTTAAAGTATGTTGTCTATGGTTTTTAGAAATCTTAAAGTTATGCTGGATTTGCACATTGACTACCCTTAACTGTACTAAAAATGAGGTTTATTTGACAGTAAGGAGGAAACCTTCACGTGTACCCAATGGAGTTCATAAAATGTTGATTGAACTCTATTTCTACCTCTATCTTTTTTACAGTTCTGAAATGGCAGGTAATTATTAGATTATTAATAATCTTGACCTCTTAATTATACTTGAAAAAGGATGTAAATGGAAAGTCATCATGAGGAAGTGTGACATTAAAAGCACTTCTCTAAGCTAAGTAGGATGGAGAGGTGACATGCTGACATGTGTATATCTGCTGATGTTGATCATAAAACAGCCAACCAGTCAAAATCCAAACTTTATAACCAGATATGTGAAAAAGAATTGGTATATGCTTAGATACTTTAATAACAACTTCTTTTTTGTAGATTTGTTTTGTTTTACATATGTGAATGTTTTGACTGAATGTATGTCTGTATACCACTTGTGTGCCTTCAGATCCTCTTTTACTGGAATGATAAAATGGTTGTAAACCACCATGTGGATGCTACTAACCAAATCCAGGTCATGTCCAACAAGTGCTTTTAATACTGAGCCATCGCTCTAGACCCCCTTTTTCTTATAAAATATTGTATGTTTATATTTATTAGGCTGAGTAATAGCTAGGAGTACATGTACACTAGAAACAAATTGTGGTCTTCAACAGAGGATACTTTCTTGAATGCCTGTGATTATGTACTTGGTAGGAATTGAAGGCAAAATGTGAAAGAGGATGAACATTAAATTTTTTTCTAAATGAATAAAGAACTTGTCTTGCCAGTACTTAGCTCACAATAATAGGGTTACAAATTAAAATAGTGTTATCATATCCATAACATTCTATAGTAGTTTATTTTGGTGGCTGCCTGCTTTGTAATCCATGTTTTCTTTATTTTCTGTTGAACTTTGCCACTGTAATTTTTATGGAATAGCATTTTTATCTGAGTTGTAATGTCACATGCTAGTAATTAGGTCATTCTTGTACTGTTTTTAGAATAAAAACCCTTTTAGTCTAGATTGTTTTTACTGACTGCCTAAACATTTAGCATTTATGAAACATTAGTGATGGAGTTTAATTTCTTCAAATCACTTTGTTTTTAAGTATTAGATAAATGTTATCATATGGTGTAAGTTTTTAAGATAATTTTTTTTATTTTTCCATCATTTTATTTATGTGTTGGATTAGACTTAACTGATTTTTTTTTATTTATTTAAATTAGAAACAAGCTTGTTTTACATGAAAATCCCAGTTCCCTCTTCCTCCCCTGGCCCCCACTGAATCCCTATTCCATCCCCTTTCTGTTCCCCAGGGAGGGTGAGGCCTTCCATGAAGGGATCTTCAAAGTTGTTATATAAAGATAATTTTCTAAAACATTGTTTTTTTGTGTAGTACTTTTTGCATCTTAATTTCATTATACTTACTGTTACTTGAGATAGTATGTAATAAGTGGAATCATGAAGTTTATGTTGAAAATGCTCTGTCCGTGTATGTGGATGAGAAAAAAGGAAGTTTTGAGAACATAGCATTAAAATAATTCATCTCAAATTTTGGTGTTTAGGGAGCTAATAATGTAATAATCATGTGTTGTAATTTTTGTTTTGTTTTGTGTTTTCAGTTTTTTTTGGGAAAGTTTATAAATACAGATTTCCAACAGCCTTGGAAAACTGAGTATCTGTGTTTTACTGCAAACATACCTTTATATTAGAGAATAGATAAGTTGCGGGGCTATTTTGTAAGTTATGTTCAGATTTAAATCTCAAATGGCTTAGCTTTGAATAGATTGCCTAGAGGGGATTTTGTCTGGTGTTCTAATGTATGTCTTTACTGATATCTTTGAGAATCGGTAATTTATACATTGCCCTTCTGTACTTCTGAGAATAGGACTTAAAACACTTCAGTTATCTCAGCACATTTGTTAATTTCACATCTTTTCCTAATACGTATTAATAATTTTGCTTTGTCTATAAATGTGGGATAAATGTACAAGCCTATAAACAATTTTTTAAACTAACAAATACCTATTCTCGTGTAGATCTTCTTTCAGCCTTTACTCTCAGCATTGATAATAGGAATTTTATTTTAATGAGTGATTTCATTTCTGTTCACTAGAAAGTCTTAAAAATCAGTGCTAAAACTAAAGTAGCAGGGATTGCCTTTACATTCTTAGTGGCATAGAAAGCCATTTTAGTGACTCTCTAGACCACTTTTATTAAAGTTGTAAGATCACCTAGTTAATTTGAACTTGTAGGTCTTTAGAATCTTCAAAAATATTTGTTATTTAAAAGGTAATTTTAATATGAGGATATTGTTCTTTACTTCTTTTATAGTGTCATTCATTTACTTAATATCTTTTTTTTTTTTTATACAGATGACAGTAGAACTGCAAGCCAGTTAGATGAATTTCAGGAATGTCTGTCCAAGTTTACTCGGTACAACTCTGTAAGACCATTGGCCACATTGTCATATGCTAGTGATCTCTATAATGGTTCCAGCATAGTTTCTAGGTAAGTGTTTGACCCACTCTTTACTGTGTTCTTTTATTCAAATATAAGAAAACTTAATAATTTGAGAAGCAGCTATAACATCTCTGAAATTTGGAATTTGTGAGCTAGATTGCCTTCCAATTACTAGGATTTAGCAAATTGGAATGCTCAGTAGTACCCATTTGACAGAAAGCTTCTCTTCATGTAGTTGTCTGGGTGTAATGACGGAAGGTACTCCTTATGTCCTCCCTTTGGTTTTGAAAGTCTGGATAGAACTGGCATATTTCTTTCCTGAATACTATGTTTGATTCTCCAGTGAAGCTTCCATGGAAGATAAGAATATGATCAAACTAAATTGTATAGTTTGTGCAATGTGGGAACTTGAGAGATAACTTTAGACAGTCTAAATATACAAAGCACAAACTGACAGAGTGTATTTTTAAAATATATTCTGGGGCTAATGATGTAACACAGCCAATGATTGCCTCAAAAGCAAAAGAACCCTGTGAAATGAAGGCCAGGCATAGTAGTGCATGCTTATTATATCAGTGCTATTGAGTCAGATCTGAAGCTTACTGCCATGCTGGCAAGTTCTAGGTGGACAGTTTCTGACTAATGGCATCCAAAATTGTCCTATGACTTTCACATGCACATAGTTCACCAACACGCATGCATTTGCTTACGATCACACACAAATTTTACTACTATATACAGTTTTCCATTTCTTAAAACAATGTGCATTGAAAAGCCACCAGGTTGTATAACAGTTAGGCTATTTTCAGTAATTCCTTAGCATCTACACATTGTTGTCTATGTTCAAACTTACTAGAATAAATAGACTTTAAAGACATTTTTAAACAGATGAACAATTTGACACATTGACTTATTGTTGTTGCTGATCCTACCATTTAGGTACTCTTCTACCCCAGTCAAATTTCAACTTGTGTGAATATTACTAAAACTTTACATGCTTTTTATGTACTAGAGCTTTTATTTACATATATGAAGATTAATCCTAAGCTCTGAGCCATTAACAACACAATTGCAAGAAGTCTTCCAGAATTTTCTGGCTGCTTGTAAATAAGGGAAAAAAATCCATACATTGATTTGTTTTGGAAATTTTAGTTTTTCTTGAGTGAGTAGAATTTGAAGCTGCAGTGGAATTTGAATTTCATTTAATTGCATAGTTCATCTAACAAAATTTCATTGGTTACTTGGTATCATTTAACTAAATGTATACTCATGAAGAGGCTATGTATTGATGGTTATGTTCAAGAGACCTCACAATCTTACTTTTATGTCTTTATGATATAATGAGGTGGCTTATTAAACTATATATCCTATATAGTAACAGGTTAACGTTATCACATAAATTCTTAACTACTGATAAGAATTATGACATAGGCTGCTAAATGCTTCAGAAATGTAGTTCAAGCGCAAAATTGAAAACTATGAAAGGAGGGCCTGGTGTCCTGGCACATTCTGGAGGCAGAGACAGGCAGATCTGTATGAGTTTGAGGCTAACTTGTTCTGTAGAGAGAATTTCAGCCCAGCCCCTCTCCTTCTCTGTCTAAAAAAAAAATAAAAAAAAGAATTTGTAAATACTGACTCAATATGACTATATACAAGCTATTAATTGGGCCCTGTTGTGATTCTAGTTAATGTCCCTTACCATTGTTAATTTATCCTGTATGGTATTTTCCTTTTCAGTTAAAAACAAGATCAAAATTTCTTTTAAACAGCACATTGCAAATCTCTTAATTGAGGGATATAAGACTTATAGTCAGTCCATTTCAAGAGGAATATATCCTTAACATTTTTAAAACTTAATTTTGTTCAACTTAATATATTCCAGAATTTAACAAAAGTAGTTATATAATTTTACCATATCAAGACATTCATATCAAAGTATTTTATATTCTAAAACAGAAGTAGCTTAAAAGTAGGCATAATTTCAAACTAGTCATCCTAGACATTCAAAGTGAAGTCAGGTACATTTACATATTTGAAATTAGAATATTGTAAATTTAAGTAGATGTGATGGTCAATTTGGCAAAAAAAATTCCAAATTTGGAAGTTTGTTATGCAAACGGACAGATGAAAAATAATATAAGCAAGAAAGGATGATGAAGTCCAAAATGAAGGTGATTTGAAACTCATAATTTTGGTGACGTTTTTTGCTCTTATGATACTGAAACATCTTGGTAATACATTCATTCAAAGGTTTTATTCCTTTTAATTAGTAAAGTTAATGAATTTCAGGAAGAGCGTAAAAAACCATGAAAACAGTGTTAGCTAGAACAAATTGTTGTTCTTATCAATATTGTGTAATATCTGTGTCATACTGATCACCTTATTGCACTGATACCTGTCTGAGAAGAAAAGCACTAAACCAGATCCTCCTCTTCCTTTGCTTGTTTGCTTTAGTCCATTAGTCCACAAGGTGGCAGCATTTGTTTACACTATCTCTGCTGTTACATAATTAAGTTAGAAATTGTTTGCTTACACAGGTTCATTATCCTGTTTATTATGTGGTCCTGAATTAATAACAACAAATGGTGGAAAAAAATGCTTTCTACTTTTTCTTTAAATATAGCAGTTATTTAATTTTACATTTTGTTTTCTATGACCACCATAGAGGATGGGCTTGAAATTGTATCTTTTAAAAATAATTCAGCATGCAGTAGTAGTGCTAGTTGCATCATGAATTGCTGGTTTGAATTTCAGATTCCTATAGTACAGAGGTTCTCAAACTTTTAATGCTGTGATCCTTTCATACTATACTGTTCCTTATGTTGTGGTGACCCCAAACATAAAATTATTTTCACTGCTATTTTTAACTGTAATTTTGCCTCTGTTATGAAATTTTAATATCTGTGCTTTCTGATGGTCTTAGGCTACCTCGGTGAAAGGGTCCGTCTACCCCCCTCCCCAAAAGGATTGTGACATACAGGTTAAGAACCACAACTAGCGTATACATGAAACTATTAACTACTTTACATCATTTAATTGGTTTTAGCTTATGTTTGCTGAAGTTAAAAATGTGTTGTATTCAGCACTTTTGAACTCTTGAGAAGTAAATGGTTATATTTGTGTGAATAATTGATGTAAAATTAGTCACTTGTAAATTAGTCATTTGCTGGTTTTAATTACTACAAGTAATTAAACACTACAGTGTTTTTAGACAATTGTATCTACTTTACTTGAACTTTTAACTCACCCCTTTAGAGTAAGCTTCTGTGTTTTATAGGAAGGAAGCTGAAGTTGGGAAAAATGTGACTTGCTCAGGATCAACACAATGTAGTATGTTTATACTGTTGTGTTCCAGTGGTCACTAAAACTACTGGAATTAAATTTTGTTGTACAGTAGATGTTTGCAAATATTGTTTTTGCTAAACATCAATTTATGATGACAGCTAGTGTTGATCTAGAGTTAGGGTAAATTTTAATGTGCTGCTTATAGAATTCATGTGTGTATTAATTTTACTTAGTAGATCTCCACAAATCTTTTCCGAAGAAGAGATAAATTTTAAGGAGTTACTACCAATGTTCTTTCTGTTTTGACCAGAGTACATTTCTGTTATTAAGAGATTCATTAGCTTGTAGGTTGGGTAGAATGAGATGAGTAGGAATGCAGAGGACAGCATTTCCTTTAAGAATCTTTCCTAGGGCCAAAGTGAAGGCAGTGCATTAAACTGTGTTTTATGCCGAAAGCTTTATTAGAAAGGACTCTTATCTATCTGATTTCCTGCTATATTCCTAGCTCTGGCCCATGTTAGGTACTTAGTTGCAAGTATTTGCTGAGTGAATGGCTGACTACAGAAAATCACTGAAAGAGAGCTCTTTTGGTTATTGGTAACTTGGCTGCTTCCTTCTGTGGCTTTTAAGCTTTGCTCTGAAAGAAAGCTCTCTGAGTCTGCTTTGAGTTTGGGTCAGCCTGGCTCTAAAGTGAAACTTAAAAACAGAACAGCGAAAGCAAGAGAAAAAAAATCCCACTAAGTCAAAAAGTAATTTCCTAAAAAAAAAAAAAAAAAAAAAAAAAAAAAAAAAAAAAAAGCTCTCTCTGGATAAAAACATGGAAGAGAAATAAAGTTAAAAAAAAAAAACATATTTACCTATATTCCATTGTGCATATGGTCTCTATAGGAGAAGGGTTTTATAAATGCTTCAAGTGTAACTCCTAATCTGAGATGGGAATATAAGGAAGACCACTTTGAATGAATAACCTTTTCCTGTCATTGAGGGTTTTGCTTGTTTTGTTTGTTTTTGGTAAGGCACTTTCTCCTAATTGTCTGGCCTAACAAGAAATAAATTCAGTTATTCTTATTTAATTGAGATGAAATGAGATCTTGAAATTATTCTAGCATTTTTGTCTCATCAATACTAAGTTGCTAATTAACTGTTAATAGTATTCTATCTTTTCAGAAGAAATACAGCCCTTAGAACAGTGATTGATTGTCTGCTAAAGGGCTTATAAAACCCATTCCTATACCCATTTCTTTTTCCCCCCACTTTTTACTTAAATTAGAAACAAGATCATTTTACATGTCAATCCCAGTTTCCTTTCCCTTCCCTCCTCCCCTGTCCCCCACTAACACCCCACCTATCCCATACCCTTTCTGCTTCCCAGGGAAGGTGAGGCCTTCCATGGGGGATCTTCAGAGTCTGTCCTAGACCCATTTTCAGAGTGGTTGCTTAGGGGATCATGGACCACTTACTGCATTCCACAACAGAGTTTTTTTTTTTTTTAATATATAAACACAGAGAGTTTATAATGACATCTGGGTCCCTAGGATGAAACTGTTTTATTCTGCCAGAAGACACATTGTGTGATAAAGCCTTGAGTTGTATCTTTATACCACCAAAATAAAATTTCTAAAATTAAATTTACTTAACTCATATTTCTGAGCATTTGCTGTTTCTTAGAGGAGTACACAGGTCCTGAAAATGCTACTGTAAAATAGTAGCAAAAAAATTTTTAGAATATATACCTGTTACAGTAAATGAAATATGAAAATAGT